TTAGATTGTGCCAAAATCATCTGGAAATGTTCTTTCTAACCTTAAAAGGAGATTGTTTTTTAGCACAAATCAGAACAAGGACAAGTGAACAGCTGATCCTCTTCTGTAAGTCAAAACAGGATTTTGAAAAACCTTAGGGGGCCGGAGTCTCCATATCATTTCGACATTGGTGTCATTGCATGATTACAATGCAGGTAGGCGTTTGATGCAATATAGTAACCAGAAATCAAATTTAGTGTCCTGTCTGTTTACAGCTTTTCTTCATTTTTATACAAAATATCTATTACACCAATTTATTTCTAGCCTTAGCCCTACCTTTTACCACGTTTCAGTGAGAGGCACATTTTTGCAGCGGTTATACAAATATCTATAATTAGATTGGGTTGAAAAGACTCCACTTTTTGAAGGACTTCTCAAAGAATCTGAGCAGCAACAGGGAGACACATTTTACATCAGCTCTTAATAACACTCAACAATACTAAAAGCATCAACACATAAGGTGGAGGTTGGGGTGGAGGAAGCCCAGAAATAAAATCTTGCCTGTAATACTGGAGAGAAAAAAAATTAAACATCCAGGAAGCGGGATGTACAGCTGTCAAGTTTTTTTTTTTTTTTTTTTTTAAAAATTAGATGGGGTATATTTTAGGACTCGCATGATATGTATTTTTTTTTTTGCTCAGTCGTCTACATTTAAATGTGAATTGAATTCTAGTGAGATGTCAGCCCGCAGATATCATCTAACCAAGGAAGCTAAGATATTTCCCATGAGCCTTTTCAGCCTTTGACAGAGGCATTGCAGGTATGGCCGAACATGCATATCAACATACAGATACTCAATCTCTATGTGCATTCAGGCAGGATACATGCGGAGGATGGTGCATCGGACCGGCGGACCATGAGATACATGGTTGCAGTGGGTGGGATGAAAAGCATGAAATAAGTTCTGGGTGTTACCAGGCAGATGCATGCAGGGAAGCTGGGGTGGTGCGTGAGCAGATCTTATCAGCAGCTTACACTTGTATTTTTCACTGTGGATATTTTGTATATGTGACCTTTCCAGCTCTAAAACAGTCTCAGGGGTTGCAGTAAGTTCATCCTCTGCAAATGCAAATGTGAATACCTTTGGTGATGAGCGGTAGAGGCTTTGATGTGTTATGCGCCGGATCAACATATTAAATACATAATAACACGTGGCGTCTTTGAGATGGGATGAAGACATTTAATCTCCTCGGTTTCCAGACAAAGGGAGGATCTTTTCTGGCCGGTTCGGGTGAACAGAAGCCTGAATGTGAACTTGGCTGCAGGCTGAATAACTGTTGTGTTGCGTCAGTCGATGGTAGAGAGAAGCAGAGCGAATGTGTATGTAATACCGTACTTACCCCTTTATGACAGTATTCTCTGAATTGTACACGCCAGTTGCCTGTTTGCAACAAGAGATGGCCTAGATCAAAGCACTTAAACCTTTTATATTATTAATACAACATTATTTAACAAACTGCACATGGCTGCCGCGTTAGAGAAAGCTCCCTTCTCTAAAATGTCAGCTTTTCAAAAGTGTAGAAAAACAACTTTCTTTTAAGATTGACACCCATGATATTTTAAAGTTCTACTTCATTTTTTAAAAAGGTTTGTTTTTGCAGCTTACAGTCGTCAGCATTACTCGTAACACGAAGGCCTCGGGGACATTTCAGGAATTAGAAAAAATGCTGTAAAAAAAAGAGAAAAGGAAGCAATTAGTTTATGGCGCTGCAGCAAATATTAGTTGCCTCTCCTCAGCTTGACAGATGACGACTACATTTCACGACGTCCACGCTGCTGATCCGTTGCGACACCTCGCTCAGTGGCTGTCTGGTTCTCCTCTGCGTGGTCCTGAATGTCAATCTGCAGAGCTCCCCCACACTCAGACAGTAGCCACCAGTGATGCTGCACTAATTAGCCAACCCTCTCGAGTAGCCGAGCCCTCCCAATGGCATTTGTGCCAAACAGAATTATTAAAGAGGGAGGGAGGAGGAGTCGCACCTCCTCTACAGAGGAGCAAACACCCGGGTTTCGGCTTAGCATTCACTTCGTCGCCCTCCGGCTGGGGAGCCGACGCCGCCATCAATATTAACACCCAGATACATCCGTCGCCGTAGCGCATAGTTTCCACCCCAACCTAATGAAAATTTCATGTGAATCACATAATTTCTTATTCAAATGAGTCTGTCTGGAGATGATCGGTGGTGGCTCAGTGACTGAACAGCAACTGTGTCTGTTTTACGGTCTAGTAAAAGCGGTGTAGGTCTATGTGTATATATTTGTTGGTGAGTGTATGTCCTTCCAGGCCTGGAAACACAGCTGCCTGGCTTCTAATTCATTTTCTCCGCTGCTAATTTTTAAATTTAATAATCAATGCCCCATCCTCACCTCCTGTCTTTTGGCATTCCGTCGGGCTTTGATGCCTTATTTGCTGATTTGTTTATCTATTTATTAATTCATTTACCCCTCCCGATCCAATTTTAGCTGACATTTCTTGTCGAGATGTGAAGGATGACCTTTGAAAACGGAACACTTCCTGCCGGAGATGTGAAGGAGGTCTCTCGCTCTCACTTATCTGTATGCAGCAATAAAAGGTGTAAAAAAACCCATTTGCATTTGTCACTTAAGGCTCATGTGTATTAAAAAGTTTATTGCTGTCTTAAGTAGATTTGTTTGCTTTTACAAGTAGTAAAACGTGATTTTTATTTGCAGCACCCTTACATAACTTACCCTAAGCATAACTGATATTCCAGTGTCTCTACGAGCATTTCATAAGAAGGTAGCATAACTAAATAACATCTGAAGTTAAGGATAAAGGAAACAGAGTGGGTTTTTCATTTTTTGGAAATAAGTTTATTAGATTTTTTTGCAGATTCTGTCCAATGAAAGTGGCATCAATCTTAACATCTGACTCTCAGCAAGAAAGCGTATAACCTTATTTCCCAAAACGTCAAACTATTGCCTTCAATGTATCCGGGAGAGTGACATCATTAACAGAAATACAAAATAATTTAGTAATCTACATAAAAACCTAAATGTAAACACATGCTGCTTTTGCTTTTTGATGATTGTAATAGTGAATAAAGACCTAACCAGCTCTACAGGAACATGTGGTCTGTGGGCTTTAGCTTCTATCTTTATCTTATCTTATCTTCTATTTTTAATTTACTCTAATATTAACTTAGAGCTCTGGGGTCTAATCTATGTATATTTGGAGATCTTTTTTAAGGTCTGTCATTTGACGTGTGTCTATTTGGAGATCTGTAGTCTAAATGTCTGTCTATTTCGGGGGGGGGGGGGGGGATTTGACGAAAGGGCAGAGCGGCCCTGCTCTACATCACCTAATGAGCTGCTGTTGGCTTGCCCACCTTTTCTCTCTCTCTCTTCGTAATGTATTCTTTCTGTGTATAATACTGTCCCTTTGGGACTGCAGGTTTTCTTTGGGAGGTAAATTTCCATGCAGCATCTTCACATACTCACACACACATCCCCTGTATTCAGAGCAGCAATGCAGTTGCACAAGTATTTCAAGGTGACAATATTATTTAACCAGCGTGTGAGTGACTTTGTGCAAACATACCTGTGTGGGTTTTACCTGTGTGTGTGTGTGTGTGTGTGTGTGTGTGTGTGTTTTGCATGTCCATTTGTGTGTGCGTGTGTGATATCACAGGAAATGAAAAAGACCTGCAACATCCTCAGCTGCCTGTTGCCATGGTGACGCTCCTGGTTACAGGAGTGTCTAATTTGTCTTCCATACAAATTAACCTGCCATAGAGTATGGCAAATACTTAAATGGAAATTCTTTTAATACTATAAATATGAACTGCTGTTGGCTTCTATACTGCTATTTATTTATCCATATTGGCATTTTGATCATTTCAAATTCATGTCATATTGTTACATTTATTTGAACATTATTTTTACGTGTATTTTGTCTGCCTTAGTAAGTTACCTCTACACCACCCTTAACATTCTATTTTTTTTTAATACAATCATAGCATGTTACAGTTGGAACATCTGAGTAATCCATTATGTTTAATACGCCCATTTGCTGTATTCTGAAATGTGTACTGTTTGCCATCTATTGGTCGTTGAGACGTCTCTTATCTCGCACTATATGCCATTTCCTGCGTGTGTCGCTTCAGTTAGAGGCTGAGTGGATCACTCCTTGTTCCCTTATAGGCACTGTGAGCTGTGATATTGGGTGTTGTAAATGGTACAGCAATGTGAGTCATCAACCGAGCATTCAGTCAAAACCATGCACATGTACGTCAGAAAAAACTAATGATCAGATAGAGCGATACTCTTGGACTGCATAACAGGATTTGATAGTGCGCTGCTGTGTAAATGCTCTCATATCTCTTATGAAGAGTGTTATCGAAACTTTCCTTCATATTTAAACTGGTTCTGGTCGGATCACTCGTAAGTCTCTGGCTATTTGTTATCGAATTTAGTGGCTTCCTGAGCCGCAGGAGGTTCCTTAAGTCAATTTAATTATTTGACTAGAAAGCAGTCAACTTTCTTTTATTGAGTTGCCAGAGCCCTGAAGCTCCACACAACCAGGCCTGTTTCCCTTTTCTTGTCAATAGCACTTTGCTTTTATTTTAGCCATCAATGCAGGCCTGTTTATCCACTTCCCCACTTGTCTTGTTTTACTTTAATTTATTCTATTTTAGTTTAGCTGAATTATTTGATTTCACAAAAATTGAGTTTATTCAACTTGCAGATACGCACGACAGCACTGTGGATATACATTAAGTGCAGGATTATATCAACCGAGACAGAAAAATACATTTAACTAAAATGTCCAAACTGACCCAGGGTAAGATTTGCTATTCGGGTTTTCACATCAAAACAAGAATAGAAGGGAGGATGTGAGATGAAAGGGAGCAGATGTGACATCAAGCAGGAGACATGAAATACTGCATATATAAAAACCAACCCATTTAACCCTCGCTTTGTTTTTTTCCTCTCCTCTGCAGAAACTTGTCGAGGAATCCTCTCGCCACGCTGTCGTGGCAGCTCTTCCAGCACCTCCAACTCTCCGAGCTGTAAGTCCTCGTCTGATCTCTCTCTCTCTCTCTCTTGTTGGCTTTTGTTTGTGTTTTATTAGAGTGATTCATCATCGCTCCCTGCACACTATCTGCCGCCATACAAATTTTCCTCACCGCATGCCATTATAATTCCTGTCTTGGTTCTACAAAACCCTCTAATCTGTCTGAGCACTTGTAAATGACAGAACCTATAGCCGGCATAGTCGCACTGTGATCCCAAAAGTCATTTGTTGACTTAATTAAGGCACATAAAGGAAATGTAATGGTCTGGTATAGGATGAGGGAGCCCAACCCCGTTTTCTTGTTTGATATAAATATTTTAGTGATCGTTGTGTTCAAGAAATGAGTTTGCTCTTCCACCACCAGGGAGAACATGGCAGCGACCGATCTGCTTTGTAATTTACACATTAAGGACTCTGTTACACTGTTGTTTGTTTAGTTAAAGCTTTTAATATTATTATATTTCATTGTATATACTGTGCATTTTTTATATTTAATATTTTTACTCTATTTCTATTGCATTTCCATTTTTATATTTTCATTTTTATATTTCATATTTTTTACTCTGTTATTTTTATTGCTTTACCTGTACCATAAATGCTGCTGTAGCGAAAAAAAGTCCCCTTGCTGGATTAATAAAGTAACTATCCATCTATTAGGTGTTACGCCCGTCGGCGCTGTCCGTCATGTGACCGTGCTCTGAACACGCGCTCCCCCGTGCCACCTGGCCTTCAAAGCTGAGGTGTAGCAGGATGCGATGCAGGACTATTTCTAGCAGGCCTCCTTATTGTGCTATTTTCAGGGGGTAGAAGCGGAGCAGGTCCTCTGAGAGAGCGGCACAATGCTGATCTGGGGTAGTCCTGCCGCCGTATGATTCAGGCAGGACAGAGCGGAGGGAAAGCCCTGCTTAAATTGACGGTTTAGTTATGTATTTTTCAGCGTTTAGCTTTCTCGATACTGAGGAAAACTTAGAACACGCAGGACCCAACGATATTACAGGGCGCTCGTTTTTATCCGTCCTGTGTAGGAAGCGACTCGCGGCGGACCCCATGCCGGCGCTGCACAAGTGTCATCTCACTGTGGGCCCTCATCGGAGGCAGATGGGTCTCTGAATCCCTCATTGTGCCTGTTATTGGGTTGTGAATTTCATTCTTCACTGGACTGTACAAGTTCTGTACTTTTGTTGTCTCACCAGCTGTCCAATTCTAGCTTTTTGTAGAAGCTAGTTTTGGCCTTAAGCTCCTCTCGTTGCTGCTGCTGCAGTGCCTAAGCTTTGAGTCCCATGCTTCCATATGCAGAGTATGTTATGTAATACATTTATTGATAGTAACATTATTTAGATCTTTAACTTCACAATATCAGGCATCAGTATTACTGTGTAAAAATACCTAAAGACCCTGAAAATGTATTTTCTCAATCAAGTCACAGAAACCTACATCAACACATTGTCTGTTTTGGTTATTACACAAAATATAATTCAGTATGTCGGTTTTCCTCTGCACTCAACTCACTGGTTTGAAGTGGGCAATAGGTGATGTCACGTACCTTTTTGCACCAATTAAGATTTAGAAACATTTGAATGAGAATCCGTTAGTGAATTGTTTGTTTAATGCCGATCAATCTAATCCCTATAGAGTCCTGACCCTCCGAACCCCAAAACCCGCCGGTGGGATGGAAAAGCATGTCTTTGTTAAACAATCGCCAAAAAATACACTGTTTATCAAAGCAAGAAGCTGTAAAAACTAAAATTATGATTGGATTATCAACTTTCAGACGGTCCTCAAACACATTATGCGTGATTTTTCATCAGAAAAAGCAACCAAATTGAATCTTAACATTATGATATTTCAACACATTTTATTCTAAATTACGCATTTCAAATTTCGGGCCCAAATAAACCGTTTAAACTAACCAGATCCTGTAAAAAACATGATTGACTCGCCTGACAAAAACTCTTTGACTGCACTGCAGGCTGTTTACACAGAGGCAAAGCAGAGAGGGCTGAAGAGGTTGTAAGTAGAGATTGTAAAAATATCAATAGTTCAATATATATATATCATGTAACACTTTTTGGCACTTTGAAATAGGTTGGATATATAGATTCCATTGTTTTCCAATTTTTGTAAAATACATTTTTAAAGAAATTTAACTAGCATTTTGTTCTGTAATAGGATTTATGGCAATTTAACGGTGTTATATTGCACAAAAGACATTTTTGAGTTCTCTCTACTTCTAGCTATGATTGTACTGTTTCCTTAGAGGTGCAGGACTCAAATATTGCAGTGTCAAACAAGACCACAGTGAATGGAGCAAAAACACCCCAAAACTGCTTTGGGTTAAGCTGAATTATATATATATATATATATATATATATAT